AGATTCAATCTTAGCATAATGCTTTAGAAAAACCTCTGAATTTAAACAGGTTTGTCTGATCATGAATCGCTGTCTTTCTAATCATATAATAAAGGAATTTGCAACCCCCAATTTTCATCAGCTGTTTAACACATTTATGTCAGCAGGCACTCTTAACTACCTCCCACTAAAAAGATACCAAATACATATATATTTTTAACTAGTTCACACGTTCTTGAAGGCATGTCTTATTTTTTCTGAAACATGCTCCAGTTGATAGGCATCCTACAGCATGATTGTCAAAATGTGAAACGTTTGAATCTTTTTTTCTACACAGCTAGATTTTAATTTCTTTCAAAAGATGTTAAAATCTGACTGAGAGTTTAGTATTTTATTATCTAAACTGACAGTACAACATAAAAGAAACAAAATACCATCGAATTAGTGAGGATAAACTTGTTGAGTCAGTTGTTTTTTACCCATGCCAGTGCCATTTGCCCGGTTGAGGCTTTGACAGTGATTCCACACCCTTTTAGACCTGCTAATAACACTGCAAGAAGAAAAAATGTGGATGGACACTAAGTTGAATGAATGTTTTTGGTTGTCTGAAGTAGGGCATGCTATGTAAAAAAATTGGCAAACCACTTTGGGAGCCACATTTTAACACATTTTATTGATTGCTTTTTTTTTCTACAAGCAGGCATAAGATGCAGGTTACACAAAAGCTCATAGTTTACACTGAAGCCTCAAAGTGAAAACTTGTGGCTACTTTATTTCAAAGAAACTAGCATAAAAGCAAAGATTGTGACTTCACCTGTATTTTTTAGATTCACAAAATTCTCAAAGCTGTTACATACTGTACTGATTTAGGATCAGAGGTCTCCTACACGTCTGTGCTAACGAAGGCGATTTTCTTTCGAAGAGATGCAAGAAGATTGGGCCCAATCCTGTACGTCTCTTTTGGCTCATAATGCGCGGACGCATAAAGCTCGTCGATTCGTTTGTTGTTCTTGTTATATTTCACCAAAACTCTGTCCATGTTACTTTTAGGATTGCTGCGGTTGTAGTATCTTCTGACTTCATACGGCAGCTTCTCTGCGCCAGGATAGTGGAGGTTTCCAATGGTGTAATAGCTCCACTGCTGTCTGTCTTTTATCACAGGAAGAACTGGCCCTATGTTCTGAAAGAAGTGAAACCCATATTCTCCCCGGTAGGGATCACACAGAGCCCTCATGTTGTTGTCCAAGCAGTTCTGAACGTACCACACCAGCAGCTTAAGGCCATGGCGAGGAGGCGGCTGACCAAACCCGCTGTCCTGGAGTTGTTGTATTGAGTCGAGGGTTTTCGGAGGTGAGGTCAAGACCACAGACAACACCAAAGTCAAACAAAACAAGGCTTTGTCGTGTGCCATCTACGAAAAAAGACATCCCAGTGTGAAAACAGGAATCTTAAAACTACACTAAAGCAACATTTTCTCACAACTTACCTTTTAGTTGGTACCCGTTTCCCTATAGTCTCAAAGCGTGCTTGCAACCGAAGCTAAAGTTGGTGTTTTGTGCTGCAGCTGAAAGAACTATTCGATCCTGCGGTTGTCTTCTCTCTGTCTTATGTGGAGAGACTGAAAAAAAAGAAAGCACACTGGTAGGGTTTCCATTCTCTATGTGCGATGAAAAAGGAAGTGATTGCTGTGCAGCTGGACTCTGTGAAAGTCCCATTTGAAAGAATAATTAAACTAAGCAGGCGTATCTCAGGGACTAAAGGAAGTTACCAATGTAAAGTCTTACTTCTGCTTTCACTCCTAGCTGCGAAGAACAGCTGCTTATAGAGGAGCAGCCAGTCAGCTGTGCACACCAGAATAATAAAAGCGTAGCAATGAAGATGATTTCATATATGCTGGTGATGTAGTACTTTAAACTCACTATAGGGTGTGTGGTAGTGGAGGGGGTTTCAACCTTAATGTATATGGGAACCAGCGAGTTTGCAAACAGTGAGGGGTTAAAGTGGATTCGATAGGTGGGGGGAACCCTAAGATCTGGTGCGGCAGTGCAGCAAAGGAAATGGCTCACTCACAAAGAAGTCCCCAAAAGAACAAAAGGATCATAGAGGATCCAAAGAGAAACGTTAACTTTAATCAAAGTTAACGTTCAGGGATCAGTCTGTTGGTACCAGCGTCCAGTCAGCAAGGACATCCAAATTCATCCCAAGCTCACTTAGTTCACTGTGCACCGATTCAAGCCTACAGTATCACATGTCTCTTTGTGTGTCTGGGTGTGTGTTTGTGTGCCTTTGAACACTCTCATGATTAGTGTTCTCAGTGACTGCTGGCTGATGGGGTTGATTTGTCCGACAGTGCAGTGTGTCAGGCAGGCTCAGCGTCCGCACTGGAGAACATGAGTGAAGGAGCGAATAATTGATAGTGACAAGGCGCTCCCAGCCTTAATTGCTGCTGGTGAATTAGATTACCTTTTTAAAGTGCCTTCATTAGCAGAGGGAGAGCCATACCAACGGTCCCCTGATTGGCCTCATATTGTTTTGCTGTGAACTTGCTCTGGCAGGGCACAAAAAGTGTGCGTTTGTTTTGGTTGGTTTGAAATTGCTCACTAATTTTCTTGTACAGCTGTAGTTTGTCTGTGTGCGCGATGTGTGCACACGATTCATATCCAGAGTTGACATTTTGTGATACATCAGTAACTCACTGAAGCAGCAAGTGTCTTTGTGTGTTTATGAGGCTTAGTCTGCTGTTTTAAAGGGTATGTGCACCTGTGACACAAGGAAATATTTTGCTCTAACGGCTTGCATTTTACGTCTAGTGTAATATGCTGAAATATGACAAGGAAGCCCAGATATATAGGTGATATATACTCTTATGTTTTTCTTTTTTTCTTTTGTGAAGATCACAAACCATAAAGTGAAATTTTATGCTGTTTGTGGACTTTGTGGACTACATACTGCTGTTGCCCCACAAAATGAGGTCCAACATCAGGGTTAGTTAGTTATTTGCTGGAGCTGGAGTTATAGAAATAGATAAAAAAATATGAAGTAGTCATGGAAAAGCAGTTTATTGGTTTATGTAAATGGACTTGATTTTTATTTTATTCTGTTTTCGTTGCAATCAGCACAACAATGAAACTAGGGTTCATCAGGAAGTGTATTTCATGTCGGCGCCACATACATCTCGGAGATTCCTCAGTGGGAATGTGTGACCCAGGCAACCGGAAAAAACTAGGTTAAAAAGGAAAAAAAGTGGTAGGAGTTGTATTTTACCTAATCCATGATCCTGTCTCAAGCCTAACCAAAAAAGAAGTTTTCAGTTTCATGAGTATTCCACAAACTTCTGTGAGACTGTGTTGCGTGATGCTTGAAAATGTTCCTCCTTTTTCTCTGTAAAGCTGCACAAAGGGACAGACGGGATTTTGCTGAAAGTGAGCAGGGAAAGTAAGGAAGAAGTATCAGTCTATGCAGAGAGAGTTACTTGCGCATATTTTAAAAAAACAACAAAAAAACCCACTCAACTTTCTTCCCAAACCCAAATGTCCAAAACCTCACACCCTCTTCTTCCCCTCCAGCAACTGTTTCAGCTTCAGCTGTCCTCCCTCATTACATTTCCATATCTATCACCAGTTACTGTTCCATCACCAGCCCACCAGCCCCCAAAGTTCCCTCATCCCAAAAACACACTGGCATCCCCATCTCTAGCTCATGCTTCATTCCCACCGCAGCCAGCCTTCAGCCCCCTGCCAAGTTAAATGGACTGTACTGGCGTCAGGGGAGTCGCGTGTGCTCAATTCAGCTCAGCTCAGCTGGGCTGAAAGCGTTATAAACTTAGTGTGTGATTATTGTCGGAGCCAGGCTCCTCCACGCAGGAAGTGCGCGCTGATGGGTACTATGTCACCGGGTACGGGGCCAGCCGTGGCGAGAGGGATGAGAGAGCAAAAGGAGAGACTGAAACTGAGGCGAGAAAAGAGCACAGAGAGGGAGGAAAAAAAATGTTAGAGATGAAGGAGGGTAACGGGGATCGAGGGAGAAAGGGTAATAAAAGATAGAGGAAGGAGAACAAGCAGGAGAGGACTGAATCATCAAAGGGAAGGAAAAAGCCACGCTGAGCAAGGAAAGACTGATGTACACCTATCGCAGCAGACAAAGACAAGAGAAGACACACGGGGAGTGATATAAAGAGGGAGAAGCATAAGAATAATGCAGTCAGAGAAGAAAGAGAGGCAGCAGGGAAATCAGCAGAGGAGGGGAAAAGAAGAAGAGACGGGGAGGGCGCATAGGAGAGAAAGGCAAGAAGAGAAATTAGAGAGAAATTTTTCAAGCGAGTGATGTGCGCTGTGATTGTTTTCTCTCTCTCTCTCTCTCTCTCTCTCCCTCCCCGTCTCGCTCTAAACGGTCGGGATGTGGCCTGTATCTGCCGGCAAGAAGGAACTCAATTTGGGACAATTTACTCGGCAGTCTCAGCCCTGATGCACCTCAGGGACAGAGAATAGAGAGAATGAAAGTGAAGGAAGATAGAATCAGCAAGCCCCGCACACACATACATACACACTCACACAACGTGTGCCTTGCACACAATTGCCGCCGAGTAGATTTCACTTAGTTAGTTCTAACTCTCCCAGGCGGTCAATACGATTGAGTTTATAAGGCTTGGAAATGAAAAGCCCAGGATAAGGTTAGATAAACTGTGTGCTATTTGATTTTGGGCCACCCTTCGCAGAAAAACCCACACAAGACAGATGGCCGGAGGGGATACGCTGAAATCATGTTGTGCAAAAGGGTCAGATGGGTGATTAAGGCTGAATGCGTTGCGTGCTTTGACCCTCGCTCTGTACCTGCATTGGTTTCTCTGTGCTGAAGAAAGCGCTTGAGTGATTTTTCCAAATGCATCTTTGTTTTTGCATTCTTAAATAAAATGCTGCCACATGATCAAATGTTATATCATAACTTGCATCCTGCAATACTTTGCGCCTTAAAAGTTTGGGATTGTATAAGCTGAATGTGAAATTGTCTTTCCATGCTCACAGGTTGGCAGCCTGAACGGTCTGTACACACTGAGGGACACCAGGGGGCGCCCTGACAGAGCCACCTTTGAAGACAGACTTGCAGCAGCAGCAAGGGTAAGTATCCCCCCCACCCCCACCCCACCCCCCCATAAATAAATGAATAAATGAACTAAAAGAAAAAAAACACTTGATGGACTGAAAAGTGAGGACACTGACAGAGGAAGGAGCTGTGTGTTCCCAAAAGAAAAAGAAGCCACTCTGTTTACTTTTATCTTTCATTTCTTTGCCTGACTGCACTGTTCCTGTAACGCTCTGAGAAATGCATTTACAACTACAGCTGATGAGAGCATCCAGCCACTTGGACGAGACTCTTTGATGCATTTAGCACAGTGAATTTACACTCTGGCATCAGTTCTGATTGTACCCAGCGAGTGTATGCAAATGGAAGTTCATTTAAGCTGCCATTGCTGTTTTAATCATGCTCCACTGTTGATTAGCAAAAGGATTGGTAAAAAAGAAAGGAAAAAAAAGACTGAAGCAGGTCCGTGTTGAGTAATGGATAAAAGTTGTTTACCTTGCTCTTGTTGCTTGTGTGCCTGTTCCACCCAATATCACTTTGTGCACCCATCCCCTCCTCCTTCCTCCCTTGCCACCTTCAGCAAGCTGCTCCGATTTACCCTCGGAGCTCACAATTCAACCTCCTCACTAGGCTTCCGTGGCCATGGAAACCGTCATTCAGGGAGACATCCCATGACAGCAGGGAGAGGAAGGGTCGGAGATGTGGCTTCGCCCCTGTCCATTCTCCAGGGTGCACCGGACCTCTGGCCTTTCCCCAACACATTGCCCCTTCAATCTCTCTCTCTCATACACACATACACACAAAATACACAAAACAATAAAAATACTCACATAGAAAGACGTGTGTGTGTGTGTGTGTGTGTGTGTGTGTGCATCTACCCCACAACTACAAACCACCCTCCCACCCAAACACACACAGACACACAAACAGACTGAAAGCAAAGGAGAGAAAGGAATTCCAAACTTTCCGATTCAGAGTTATCATCTGAATCAGTGTGCGTGTGATTAATTGAAGTAATTTATGCACAATCTCCAGTGACTCCATGTATGGTTCATGATTTCATTAAACTGTAACTTTAATTACTTTTCTACTATCGTAACTTTAGGTGAAAATAAATTCCCACCCTTAAATGTCTCACGTTTCGTAATGAGTCTTACATTTAATGGATTGCACAAATAATGTTTTGGGATGATGAACAATTGCGTATTTAGACGCTGCTTCTCCCTGGCAGCTGCCTTCATTTTTTTCCCATTACAGTCATTTTATTTTGGAATTTCGTTTCATTTAAAGAAATCTTATTGTTTAGTTTTGTAGCGAGTAAAAAAAAATGCTGCTATTGCAGCTTACTTGAACCCTCTGAAAACCCTTGAAACTTCTTTGCTTCCCAACTGATATAATGCACTTTATTTGCTTTCTTTTTTTTTTAGCTGAACACAGTTAATATTGTTGTGGGTTTATGGAAGACATGTTTATGTTGGGTTATGTGTTGTCAAACACAATTAGAGTGTGTTAGCTGAAGCAGCTGGCCTCCTGCCAGAGCCTTAGCAATAGTTCGTCCGCCCACCTCTGACCAGGCTTCCATCTTTACAAACACGTCTGCTGTTTTTTTCCCTTTGGATTGCATAGCAGGTGGGTTTGATAGCAGAACCCACCAGTTACTGCATCATATAAAGTTTAGGAGAAGGCAAGGTTGCGACGGAGTTAAAATTAGCTTCGTGCGGCTTAATCTGCCCTTCACAGTTAGAATAGTATTTACAGTAGAATAGTATTTACAGGTAAAAAAGCCCTACTGTCGCTGAGATCCCATTTGCAGTGATGTGGTAGAGTGCTACTCACTGAGGTGTTTGTGTTACTCTGCAAAGCACCTGCATTTTGAAATGAAAGGTGAAATCACTGGTGCATCGTTGTGTAGCAAAAGCATAACGAGGCTGTGTTTTCACGAGATAGATCTACTCCTGTCAGGAGGTGGAATTAAACCGAGGGCTGTTTTACCTTTTAGAAATAGTTGTAACTATATTGTAATAACAGCTGTGCAGTGTAACTTGGCGTATTGATTAATAATGCTGCAAAACCACGGCAAACAAAATAAGACGCAACATAAAATATCATTTATACCTGTCTGTATATCATAACTGTTGCAAACTATTGAGCAGTTCTTTATAAAGAAAATAAATGAAAGGGAACTATTTAAATCTTCTTGACAGAAGAATAAGAAACATCTTTAATAAATTAGCACGATCTGCCGCAGCTGCTGCAGCTCATAGAAGCCTCAGTCTATTGTTTGCTGCATTGACACACACACAGTCACATTGAATGGAGGTCCACAGTGGCGTCTCAGAGGAGGAGGAGGTTTTGCCACTGTGTAATCCCAGCTGATGCAGCCCTCTGTCAGCAAGGCAGCAATCAGCTGTGGTATTAATCTCAATGCTAATGGCATCATTAGCAAAGCTGTGGAAAAACATACCAATGTGAGGGTTTAGAGACACATGGATAAAGACCATATATGCACATCTGGCAAATAAAGCACATGTAAAAATGCTGTTAACGAAGCAAAAACACAGACACATACACACATGGTTTCTCTTCTGTCTCTCTGCGTGTGTATGTGTACGTAGTTTATTTGAAACCCTGTTTCCCCGCAACGACTCTCTTCCGAACTGTCCTAACTATTGTACCTCTTGTGGTTTCATTCTCAAACGCGCAGACATGTTTCTGACCGAACTCTATACTGACCTTTTACCAAATGTCTCAGATACTAACCCCCTGCCATCTTTTGACACACACATTGGTTCCTGCTGGTGTACTACACACTTAATACACAGATACAGAAAGCCACTGTTCACAGCATGTTCCAGTCTTGTGATGACCTGGTTTGAATCTTCTTTTTAAAAAGAAATCTGTTTTAATATCTGTCTCATTAATCTGAGCTGTACAGGCACCTTATTGATGCAACACTCGAGACGACAGCTGCAAGCTGCAGACAGAAGTCAAGGAGAAAAGACATTACCGGCAGAACAAGTGTGAAGTTTTTCTTATATAAACTGAAAAAAATAAGCAGGGCGCTAAAAGATATTTATTATAGTGAGGATGCTATAATGATGAAAGGCCAAGGTCAGCTTTTAGAAAAAATAAAGTCAAATATAGGCTTTACCTTGCAGCTAGCAAAACATCTAAACATCAATAGGTAGTCTTATTTTTGCATAAAAAATTAAATATATTCTAAACAGCCACAGCTAAATTAAGATAGAGCATGCATTGTCCAATTGTTGTCAAATGATGCTCGATCGCCTTGTGATTGAATATCGAGTTATTGAACGACCTGCAAAATTTGCAGTGTTAAATCTTTAAAAACATATAAAAGTGAAAATGTGATAATAAATGTGATAATTGTTGTAATGTTTAAAATGTGACAGCAAATCAAAAAATATTTTTGTCAGTGCAAGTTTAGCCTTATATGTAGGGATGGGTATCGTTTAGGTTTTATCCGATACC